TCTTCATAAACTTTTGTGTTTGGGAATAATTGTTTGACTTTACAAGTAACATTATTCACGGAAACTAAACTCCAACATATACACAATCATCTCTGAGGTGGAGTTTCACTTCGACAAACCAAAAATACCAAAAATATCACTGAAATTGTTTTTTTTTCAGAACTTAAATTAACATAAAGCAACAATTTTAATATTTTCTTCCCGAAACATTACACTGCCATTCACCAGATCTTTTATTCTTAATAAGTTACGATCTTTTTTGACGTTTCATGATAAATTTTTTGCCTGTTTTCAGATAAATTTCAGATAAGATAAACAGTATCCGAAACATCTTTTAAAGCAGCAGCTATACACCTCATCCGTTGAAATGCTAAAGAAAATACAATGGCAATGTATGTATGAAATTTAGGGTCTTTATACATTATATGTGGATTCGAATTCGTTAATTAATTTTTGCGAGACAATATAATATATAATATTACATACAATTGTAAATCTATAACACTATCTTCTAATGAACGATTAAATACTCCGCGAGGGTGACTGGAGTACGGTCGCCGCAACTGCGCAATAGTTTTAAGTTTTAACAAACGTCGACCCACGTCAACGTCACGCGGGCGCTCTCTCGTCCCGGATCAGAATCTAAAAACCGTTAAATTGTCAACTTCGATATTCAATTCGGCAATAAATGTTTATGTCGATTCCCGCTGTGATTGATATTGTGTGTAACACAGAGACGTAATGATAGGTTTTAATCTACTTAACTTAGCTGTTAAGGTAGTAATGTAAGTTATCTGCGTTTAATTACATTGCGATTTTAAACAATAAGTATTAATTCAATAGAATGTTTAAATGATGAAACATTAAGTTATAAATAAGTGAATCCCAGTAATTGGTGGTGCCACACTTGTGCTAGGGTTTTTGCGGTCAAATATAAAATAAAATATGGTTTCGGTGTCGGATATCCGCGTTTGCCGAACTGCCGACCCATTTACAGTAACGAATCGCTTCGTCTTAATCCTTTTCGGTGACAAGGCACTTTATTACGGCAATAGGTAAGTGGGCCGGAGCGCCTTGCTGCTAAATAACGATCGCACCTTTCATACTCGCGTATATATGTACGTATGTACATATTTCCTTAATACACTTTCGTACTTACTCTTATTTAAAATGAAAGTAAACTAATTGTACAGTAATATAAGTTTGAGTAATTTTGAGTGAGGCCGGCGATAGTAGACACCACTCCGGTACGGCGCCGTGCCATGATCGGTGCTGCCCGAGAATCGCAGCCTGTAGGTCTGTCGTAGCACGTAGCCCGTAGCGCGTAGCCCGGATGTACAGGTACGGGACCCCGTATCAGGAAATTTTAAAGCAAGTGTTGCAACACTTGTAACAAATTCACATTAACAACATTTACATTATTCTATTATAAAGACTTTTGTGATTTTGTTAATTACGTAAAATGTTATGCTTGAACTTCAGATAATGTATCTGAATGTAACATCCTTCTTTGATGCTATATTTTCATATAAATATTTGTGTTCATATGATGATTGTTTGTTGCATATTAATCATTTCATATATTTATATAACAGTTTCCTATAGCATTATCACGTTATCATTTCAAACTTCCCGTGTTCAGTTCACTGGAAATCATTTTTCTATGAATTAATCTATTTGCTATAATAAACTCGATAAAATAAATATACAACTAAATATTGTTAACACACACACACACAAACACAAGCAACTTAAATATGTTTTTTTAAAGACACCACCAGGTTGCGAACTCATGAGATATAAGATTAGTTACAACTTCGTCAAGAGTTTATTCAGAAGTGATATCGCATTAAATGATCAACTGTTAATTAAAATGTCTCCCGCAACACCAGCAGCCGACAGTTCGTTACATCGTCTTGATAAATAACTTTGTGCGCTGAAGGAGCACCCGTGCTGACCTTCGTAGGCGGCCAGTATGCCGCGGGTGAGAGGTCAACATTCACTGGTCACCAACTTCGATCCAATGCTATAATACATTACCGCAGCCGAAATAGCTTATACAACGAAATATAATGTTTTATGAGTGCGTTTTAGTGTGATGGAATTGATGGAAGATATTTCAAGTGACGTCATTCTGTTGTATAGCTCTTGTTGTCGTCTGCTGTGACGTAACAGCTGTGACAATGACGTCACACTGCCTGCCTGATCATCGCCGGTGCGCCGAGTCGTTGCCGCTCGCTACGAAGAGATTCGATTAAACTTGAGAAACAAGAATTTTATTTAATAAATAGAGTTTTATTCAAACGAATGGGCGGCAAGGGTCAACGACCTGGCGACCATTGCGAAATAAAAGTTGATGCGTCATCGCGGGCCGAGGGCCGATTAGTTAGATCGAGCCTTCGTCAAGCAGATTGAGTTGTTCTTATCCGTAAATAAACTCTCTCTTCGTCATCATCCGATTCGAAGCAACAGAACTCACCCCCCGCCCCCTCCGCCTCCGCCCCACACCATCCTTCCAGTTCGCAAAAAGATAATTAGTTAGAAGAGGGAGCACCGGCTACCGGCTACGGCTGTATGTATAATACATATGTACATAATATTGTACGAGTATATGTGATAATAAGTCTACCGACTTAATTACTCCAGCGACAACCTGCCATACGGTTACTATGATATAAATGTGCTCTTTATTTTTTTAAACTGAACTAGTAATTATAAAAAATTGAATCAAACCTTATTTTAGCGCAAGAACATATGTTTGTTTGTTTGTACACTTATAAATGATTGTTTTGTTGATCTTGCTGGAGCAAACGCATGCGGTGGCGGCTTGTTTCTTTGTAAAACTTCAACAGATTGAATATTTAATTGCTCCTTTTAACTCTATTGTTATCCTTCATAAAACGATCAAAATAAAAAAATCTCTGACCTTGAAATTATCCCATCTAGTTGCAATAATAATATGACATTAATACAATACAATTCCAAATGGAATTTGAATTAAGTGAACTTCAAACCGAGTCACATTGTCTAGTGCGAGGATATTAACTAACTCATTCATGGATCACTCTTTTATGAATATTTATCATATAGACTAGTTTGTGCCTGCGACTACATCAGCGCGGAATTGAAAAAGAATAGTAGCGTGCACGCTATTCAATGTAACCTACCTCGACATTATTATGCCGACATATTGTCCCCAAAGGGAGGGCAGCGCCATCTGTTGTGCTCCGTTAATAACGTAGGTACTTTATAGATAGTAGCTATACATCGTCTAGCATCAGTCACCCTGCATCAGTTGTAGTTGTGCCTAAACCATAGTTTAATCGTTTTAAATAGATTTTTATTTAGAGAAGCGTGATGTTTACAAAACTGCCGCAGTAACCACACCGCTCTCAGCGCGGCATCTCTTGGAACTGTGTCAAGGGAACGTCTGAGCCAAGGAAAACCAAAACAACAAAAATCCCTTCAATCAACGAATCGTTTGTTTACACAACATTTTGAGCTTCTGAATACATGCGAGTGACACCGTTTTGCTACGATTTGATTTATAAGTAGTGGATGTTTTGCTTGCAATTTGTGGTTTCCAAGCAAGTGACATACGTTGTGAGATGAATGTAATTAACATAAAAATACAGCTTCTTCACGACTGCATATTTATTGATTTTAATTACAATACAACAGACGCGAACATTATATGCGGTATAAGTTAAATAAGCCCCTTTAACTTTAAAACTTCCGGATTCTGAGCACAAACTTCTGCGGGACAATGAATTTTAAAGCTCCACCAGAGTTATTTAACTCGTATTAGCACAACATAAAGAGACAGTGTTTATAATTACATTTTATTTTAGTGAAGCATCTAAAATAAATAAATACATTGAAATTATAGAAAGAATAGAGCATTTAGTTTCATAAAAACGACAAATAACATTGAACTCTTTGAAGGATCCCTGTTTAGTGAAGTTTGTTTACATTAAAAAGATGCTGGTATACTAACGGATTATTGTGTTAGGCGGCCACTGTGCGGTGAGCGGTGTGCGGCGTGCGGTGTGCGGTGTACGGCGTGCGGTGTGCGGCGTGCTGTGTGCGGTGTGAGGAGCATAATAACACATTTATATCGAATACATTTTAATCAGTTGTTTCTAAATTCAACAAAAACAATATTATAGATGAAATGTTCCGCCTGACAGCAAAGAGGCGGCCCGCCTTTGTTCTAGTGGAGTTGTGTCAATTCACGCCATAAATGTAACAAACATCGGGAATTAATAATTCATCTCCTAATTTCTATAAATATGGCTTTAATGAAATAGAAACATATGTACATGCTAACATATGTAGAAAACCAAAAAAGTCGAGAAAATATTGTATTAAGAAGCATGAGAAGTCAACAAAATGCTATAGATATGAATGTTATTATACATAAGTAGATAGCAGTGTTGTTTCCGTTACCGCGCGGCCATGTCGTGTGGCATGTCGCTAATTACAGCCACACAAACGCGTCTCGAGGGAAACTAACAAACGTAATATTGCGTCCGCCCGTCTGACCCCCTGCCCGCCTGCCCGCCCGCCCTACCGCTAGGAAAAGAACCTTATTTGATATCAGAACCAAGGTAAACGGGTATGTGCCACTTTTATCATCAGGGAAAAGAACAGGGCAGAAACCAAGCGTAAGATTCCTTTTCTATTGAAATAAGTAAATCTCCTGTTATTTAAACTATGTACTGTCAATGTTGGAGAATGAAGAAATGTTATTCTCGTTACGCTTTGCTTGTGTGTTGGTTGTCATTCACAGAGCAGCAGAGAGTCGCTGTACTACAAGACCGCTTTTATTTCATCAATCATCTGCAGCGAGCTCACAACCGGCAGCCGATAGCGCTCCCCCCCCCCCACCGCCGCCCTCACCCCCGTCCTCACCCCAGCCCACGACACGCTAGCTTTTCCTTGCTCTGTTACAAAACCAAAAAAATTAAAGGTATAATAATTTACGACATCTTTTGTATGTGTTAACATGATTTATTTATTTTATGTTATTTAATGTTATTGAAAATAATCCAAGTATTGTTACAACAGCATTAATGTTTAAGTGATAGTAAAGTTATTACAATTAGTCCTGCGGTGATGAGCTGTATACAAATATAAATGCAAACATTTTTATTACGCTGTTACAGTTTGTAAAATATTTATTTAATTAATTAATAATATAAAGAACTTCACTCTCACTACGATTCATGTATAGGGCATTATATTTTCCAATACCATAGATTTCCTAAACTCTTTCAAACAAACAACATTAAGTAGTGATTTGAAAATGTTTGGTCTCCAAATCTTCTCACTAGACGTGATTACAAAATGTCTTCGATAATATTGGAACCCACACAGTTGAATCCTAAGAGCATCTCCTCACGCTCCTCACATTAACAATGTTGTGTTGTAACGTGAAATATTGTTGCGCCTGTTCCAAGCAGACCTTGATTAATAACAAAAGCAGGTAACGAGGTAATCAGTTATGTTAAGAAACAAAGTCAAGACAGATTGTTTCACGTGTTTGTCTGAACATCTAATACAAATTCTCAAAACCTGCTCGTAAATAAATTATATTTACTCAAGTATTATAAGTAACTGTATTTTGTTATTGTTATTGTTAGAATTCTGACATTGATGTATGTATTATATATACTATGGACACAAAATTGTGCTTAGATTGTATCTACCGGCTCGTCGCTGTGAGGTCGCGCTAGTGGCCTTGCTCTGCGGCTTCGCGCAGCTGGCGCGCCAGCCAGCTGACGCCGTCGGCCAGCCCGGCGCCCCCAGCGCACACAGCGCTGCTGCTACACACATGCCACGGCTTGTCCGTCACGCGCTCCAGCCCCAGCGCTGCGCAACACACACACTCACCAACTCAAAACATGTTACACACTACCTCGTTTTCGGCGAACTACGTGAAACTCTGTGCGGTTAGCAGATGTGCGAGAGCTATCTGTGTGCATGCGTATGCGGCTATGTGTGGCGTACCGGCGGCGACGTGCGCGGTGGAGAGCGCGTGCGGCGCGTCGCTCTTGTTGGCCAACACGAGCAGCGGCAAACGGCGCGCGCGCAGCTCAGGGTGCGCCAGCGCCAGCTGCAGCTCCTCTCGCGCTACCACTGCACCACAAGCCTGCCGTTAGTGTACTCTGCGGCCGCCATGCACGGAGGGAGACGTAACCTCACCGACCTAAGCGCAGGTGGTCTGCCGCGTCTACCACGAAGATGATGGCGTCGGCGCGCGAGAAGTGGCGCTCCCAGAGCGCGCGCAACCGCGCCGCCCCTGGCGCCTCGTGCGCCTCAAACGTCACACCGCCGCCTGTACACATTCCCCACCTCTACAACCACTCCATACTTAGATGGTACGCATTTGTTTACACTTTGTTTACACATTTTAACTTAAAGCTAAAAACACTAATTATAAAGTACTGTTTACATATTTTTTATTATTTTATCATTATCATAGTGTTAGGTTTCATTTGTATAAACGAGCAGCTCACAGGTGATATCACCAACATCGCCACTTTATGACCTCCGCGAGGAGTGAGTGGCAGGCACGTGGGATATGAACGCATTTCTAGCCAATGTGAAGAATTAGAATGTGTGGAGAAATATTGAAAAAAATCGTACTACATCTCGCAGACCATATATATATATATAGAAGAGATCGCGCTAGTTCGCCTGACGATCCAGCATTGTTGTGAATTTGCAGTGGAGCCGCCCCAATATTACTCTGTGCTAAGAGGAAGGCGAAATATACTGGCGAAGTGGTCTCCATGCGCTGCCGGCGAGTCATGCGGCCGCAGCGCACGCAGCAGCGAACTCTTGCCGCTGTTGTCGAGGCCCAACACCAGCACGGTGGCCCGACGTCGCGCGCCACTCAGCCAGCCCGACACGCGATCCAACAGCCCCATTTGAAGCTGTACATCGGTCACATCACATATGAGAGTTATGTCTAACTTGCAGTAGTATGTATAATAACATGTTAAATTTATTTTTGTTCCTGTTAACATAATGCCATAACTAGACATTCGGAAATATTCGAAAACGAGGTTATTTATTCGTCTCTGATTCGACACTGACCGATCCAAATTATACAATTACGTTTATGACACACTGTTAAATATATATCAATACTCACCAATGTTAGTGCTAATGTGAATACAACACGTTGGGTAAGCAGGCGATAACCATATCTACACAATGGTTTGTCCGAGTGAACAAGTGCTGGTGTGCAGTCGGCCGCGTCGCATCGAGTGGCGTGGCGCCGAGGTCGCGACGGCACCGCGACACCCGTTGCTAGGTAACGGCGACACAACATCGTGCCTTTACAGTAAGACATACTCCGGCACGCGACGTACACACGAGGTCGCTTCGCCAGCGCCGATTGACTGTTCCCGCGCACGAAGCTCAGCGATAGAGGAGGAGGAGTGGTCAAAGTGAAATATAGATTTCTGAACCTTTTTAAAGTCCCTCTAAATATTAAAGACGAGTGTAAATAGTTGAATTTGTATAATTATACAAGTTTTGAGAATTAATTACTAAAGCTTAGGTTTAATAACAATTAGTTTATAATGTCAACAACTCAACAATCTTAACAAATCTATCAATAGTTGCACAATTATCACAGATCAGTACTGTCTGCCCCTGCGCCCCCGCCAGCGCCGAGCACGCTCACCACGCAGTCCGCCGCCCCGCGCCCCGCGACACCGCACCCATCGCCCTTCGCCTTCGCGTCTTCTTTCACCTTTTTTACATTTGCATCGTGTTCCTTATTCATTTTTTTGACCTTTGAATCAATGTCACCGTTCATGTATCCTTCACCTTTTTCGATGCTAGAATTGCCAGTGGTATCTTTCAACCTGAATATATTGAAGCGCGCCAGGATGCGCCGGTGCGTTTGTTTATCGGAGTTTGAGGGGCAGAGCGCTGCGTAGATCTGCAGAGGGGTGCGGCGGCGCGTCTCTGGCACGAGGCAGTGCGCGGCGCCGGCGTAGGCCAGCGTGAGCGCGGCGGCCAGAGCCAGCGCGCCCCGCAGCCCGCCCAGCGCCGCCGCCAGCGGGAACGCCGCCGCCTCCAGCGCGTTGGCCACGCAGCCCGCCGCCGTCACCAGCAGCACCGCACAGCCCCGATACTGCACACGGACATTTTTTTTATTTTTGTCACAAAACTATGAGATCGGACATACGAAAATTATCAATTAAAAAAAGTGTTGCAAGGGTTAATGAGCACCTTGTAATTGAACATGTCGGCCAGCAGAGCGTAGGGTGCGGGCTGCAGGCCGACGGAGTCCGCGGCGACGGCTGCGGCCAGTGCGAGTCCGGCCGGTGCGACGCCGCCCAGCACTGCCAGCGGGCGCAGAGGCAGCAGCGCGGCACCGAGCGCCAGCCCCAGCCCCGTCGTCACCCCCGACCACACGATCATCGGCTGAAAACCCAACACGGTTACTTTACACTCACTCTCCCCACTTTCGTGTCGCCGGACGAAGAAGTAAATTACGTTTTTGAAATTTATTTACGTGGATGTCTAAACAACACTCACCCTGCGGCCGAGACGTTCGACGAGATAGAGACCTGCGATGGAGGCGGCGAGCTGCACAGCGCCCAGGATGACGGCGTGTCCCGCGGGCGAGACCAGCACCGGCTCCGCCGACACGGCCAGCGTCACGTTGATCGCCGCGAGCGTGCCCGAGCGCGTCCCGTCGCCGCCCGCGTCCTGCACCAGCAGGAACACGCGCTCCGCGTACTGCAGCAGCGCGAGCACGCCGCACATCTCCTGCCCCACTACCGCAAACCCGCCTATGAGGAAAGCGCGACGCCGGCAGTTGTCGCTCACTAAAAATTTTTACAAAAATAATAGATTGCCTTCGGGGTCCGATTCCGATTACCGCCGCTAATGGTAGAGTCTCTTACTCATGTCCTTGGCGAGGGCGTACCAGGAGGAGCCGTCGGTGTCGGGCGCGGGCAGCGAGGCCAGCTCGTCGCGCAGCGTCGCAGCGGCCGGCGCGCCGCGTAGCCACCGCAGCGCCCGCTCCGCGTCCTGCACCGCAAGTAATATCACAACCCGTACACAAACAACAAACTACGATGTCTAACATTATTTTAAAACTGTTACGTTATCAATTTAACAGAATACCAACATTCTCCAGTCGACTTACATCAAGTTTCCCGCTGGCGGCGAGGAAGGCAGGCGACTCGGGCATCAGCAGGAAAGCGAAGCAGTGGACGACGGACAGCCCCAGGCACCACCACAGCACTGTTCTGCAACACCATTACCACAGCTAATGTAGTTCGGATGTCGGCAACAATGGATTGATTGTGTGTGAAGTGTGCCGGCAGTGTGAGAAACGCACGCGTGCGGCAAGCGCGCCTGCGCGGCCAGGTACATGAGCAGCACGCCCAGGTTGTGTGCCGGCACCAGAGCCGCCGCCGCCGCGCCGCGCCACCCAGCGCTGCACATCTGCATTATATAATACAATCACAAATACTACTCATACTACTAAAAATGTTTTTTTTTAATTGGCCATCTACTGAGTTGTCAATGTGCTTAAAAAAGAAATATACTTTTAATATTATGCACTCTTCTATTGATCAAAGGTAGGCGACGACTGCCTTAGTCGTAGGCAGTAATTATCTGCCGTCAGCTAACATCAGGCGTGACGTACTGCCACCTCTACATCTATGTATCACCTTCCCTTTTGAAACAAGCACAATGTTGAGCAAACCTCCTGCGCGAGCAGCGGCGCTTGTCCCCAGGTGGCGGCGGCGCCCAGGCCGGCCGCGACGCGCGCCGCCAGCACGCACCACGCGCCGCCCCACAGCTTCAGCGCCCAGCACGCCTGCCAACACACCGCTCACTGCACTCACCTCACCTCATGCACCAACCAGTGTTTTACCGAACCCTAATACTTATCTGAACCGATAAATAATATTTATGAGATATAATTTGTAGAATTTGGAAGTAAATACTATTCGTGTTACATATATATAATATTAGGCAATCGTGAAGTTGATGTATTTATTTACCTTTTATTTTTCGAAAGGTTTTTCTATTGTTGTGTATGTTAATGTTTCGCAATGATCGTGTTATAATACTCACGACGAATGTGGCGGAGGTGGCTATGACTGCGAACTTCCTGCCGTATGTGAGCGCGTGCGCGCTGAGCGGCACGCCCAGCAGCGACGCCGCAAAAGTGGTGACGGCCGCGACTACCGCGCCAGCCGCTCCGTCGCCGCTCTCTCCGCTCGCCAGCGACACCCAGCCCAGCGCCAGACCGAACGACACCGTCGGCACGTTGACTGCAAACACGACGCACACACACTTATCACCCCCGAGCATAACACTGTTACACTGTCACAATGCTATAGTTGCTCCCTAAAGCAAGTACTGGCTACAAATGTCGAGGTCTTGTCGTGACAGCAGTAGCAAGCAGCGTAGGCGATCACATTCCGCTGTTGACTAATAGTTATTCAATTAATTTGGAATAACTCTGGATAACCAAATTCACTTTTGTCGATTTTATTTGTCTACATAAAGATGAACGTAAATAAAGAAAAAATTGTGGAACGTAGATTTTTTGCAAAAAAAATATATCCTTTTTAACAAGTGTATCGGTTCCGTATTGTAAAATAAAGAAAATAAACGGTTAGTTAGTATCTACATAATAAGATGTATTAGTTTGTGAGTTGTTTTTATCACTCATGTCTCATATCACAAATAATAAATTAAAATTAACTTGTTATAAAAAGTCATAAAATGTATGTATATAAACATTTTCCTGTTCGCTTCGGACGACGCAAGTGGCGCCGCCGCCGGCGAGCTGATGTAACACCCGTCACCTGATCTGCACCCGACGACATCGGACTCTCGTGTATAATAAAGATTAAAGACGGTACCTATATTCAGGGTATAGGCTACATGCTGCAAGCAGGCTATAGAGTTAGAGCGGCTTACAGGCATGCAGTGCCGTGTCGGCGGGTACTTGGCCAACTTTAACTCAACGTTATAACGCTTATAACGTATATCTACTCGTAAGATCAAAAGGGTCGACATTAATAGAAAACGTGAAGGAGGAGGAAGTGGTATCAATAGGCATTCTACGGTGTGTCTGCTTTTGCAAATTAACAGTGTCAATTGTCAAAATTAAACAGTGGATATAAAAAATTCTCATTTTTTAGAAAAAATGTAAGTGCGCGCCTCGCCTTATTTTCGCAGGTTCTCACAATTCAAAATTGACATTCAAATATTAGCCCCTCTATTAAAGCGCAATTTTCAACCTTAAGTCGACAACAATGTCTAACATTATCGCGAAACTTGCTAGAAACAGCTCGGAAATGAACGTCGTCGCGTCGTCCATTTTTTACGTGGTCGTATATCCAGTAATACTGCTATTATTAATTCATCTGGCATTAAATATATCTGTGTTGTGTATCATATTTCTTACAAGTTTGACGCGATATCTTCTCTAATGTCCTGCACGCGGCGCGCTCGTAAACAATTCATCATCACATCGTGTTGACATCACTGGGCAGTGCTGCCGGCCTCCCATCCAGTTCTTTCATTTAAATTATAATTTATGTAATTGTTATTTTAGCCTCGTCATTTTCGCTTTTATTTTTTTATAAAAGGTTAAATACGAAAAACATTACTAAGTTACTTAATCTTTTATTAATATTTATTTTAACAATTCCAAGTAAACATTAAGCTAGGACATGGTTCAGGACAGCAGTCGGGACACGCGGTCACGTCAGTCACTCACAACAGTCCGCATTCCGATCATCTTCAATAAGATATTGGCGTTTCAATGAAATAAAAATCTATATATTATAGCCTTTGTAGATTACCAGCAAACAATATTTTCTTCCTTCAGCTTTGTCATCTTATTCAGCGATTCTATATTGATTTTTTTTTCGGTTTAAATTAAATTAAAATAAAAATATTCTTAGAGATTGAGCAAAAGTTAAAGTTGACCATGAACTGCGTCTGTGATAACGTGAGCGGTGGCGGTGGGACGAATGCGGCCCGCGCCCGACCCGCGCGCTACACACACAATTACTACATTTATAACTAGCGCCCGCTCGCGACTTCCACTGCGCCGAATTTAAAAAAGTAGCCTTCAATATGCCTGCGTGCATCAACTACCTTCTCGTCCAAGTCCCGTCAAAATCACTCCGGCAGTTCTGAAGATTATCTGGAATAAACGTGGCCTTGCGGACAGACAAACCTATAGACAGAAGGACAGACAGAGTGACAAAAATTTTAAAGATTGGTTTTTAAAATTAATTCACAACAACGCAATAAGTACATCATGTGTACTAAATATGATATCTGTTTTCGGCATTACATATATACACTCCAATTTTATATGCATTTATGGATTTCTTTAAAATACAAAATGTTTGAACAATTGCAGGACATTACACTTCATCGTTCCAATGGAGATAAAAACAATTGAGTTCACTTACTGAGCACAACCAGCAGCAGCTGTCTGGCCGCACCGCGCGCCGCCGCCAGCCGCGCCGCGCCCATGCCTGCCGTCATCGCGCGCCAAAAGCACAAAAAACCTCAAAATATTAGCACAACATTCACGCACAAACACGCGCCAAATGAACTTAAGCCTATGTTGGAAGGAAGCTACGTCGGCCGCAGTGTGAGGATGGCGAACAGAGAGGCTGTCCGCTGCGAGGCGGGTTGCGAAGTGAGCCGGCGGCGGTCGCGCCTAGTTTTATGTACGGCATGGCACAGCGTACCCAACGACTTTGAATGAATTTAATCCGCTCAGTTCTTGTCTTTCAGGAAACTCGAACCGCGCACTCGGAAAATCCTTGAGCTCTAGGAGCGGGAGGCTACTGGAATTTGTTTATGACCCCCAGGAATCGCAGACTAACTGAACGTCGCCGCCTGCTGCCTGTCTCCCGCCTCCGCCTCCTCATTTGTTTTATTAAACGTCGTGAAAAGTTACAGAGTGTCTAGTGATTTTTGTATAACGAAGAATGAGATATATCTGGTAACGTGTCGCGCCGTGTGCTTATCGGCCACCGCTCTAGTCGCTAAGTTTGTTATCCGGTCGCGGCGTTGTGACGTCACGTGTTGACTCTTGACCCTCCGAATGTTCAAACATTACAAACGCATCGATGGCCAAGCGATAGTAGAACAGATCAACCTCAGCATCGTCATTACACAACTCCCTGACGCGTCGATACGTCTCCAGCGACCGGACCTCGGGCCTGATCCTCTTTTCCATTGTATCTTCCCAATCTTTACAATTTTCCTCTCTATCTAAAATCGGGGAATCAAATTTTAAATTCTAAAATTATTCTAAATTGAAGGAAATATCTTTAAAGGAAGTGACGTCACATAAGACAAGTGCAGGTATAACCTTCTCTTAATCTTTCGTGGGTCACCCCGGAGTCAGGCTTCATCTTAATTCTTAATAGCCAATAATATTTTACCAAACAACCAATATTCTATAAGATAAGCCACTCTGTGTGGTTCTCGAGTGCGATCCTTAGTGACAACGGCAACGATCTCGAGACAGTCATCACTACCACCTGTGGACATATGTACATCTAGGAATGACCACTAAACACTAAGTCTAAAGCATAGTTGCTCCAGGGGTCAGTTGCGGTGGCGGCCCCTATGTAGTCATCCTCACCGCCTGCCTTCACGATGGGAAGTAAGTATGCTTTCTTCTTGGCGGATATAACAGTTTTTTGTGTCCAACATATCATGTTTTCAGATAAAAGATTGCGAGTAGGTCTTGTTTTTGTAAATTGGCATTTAAATTGGGATAATTGTAAATTGATGACGTCGATATTGTCGGTGAGAGCTTCCGCGGCTTCCGCAAACAGCTCGGCTGGCCCTGACCCGAGGTCAGGCGGAAGGAAGCTCTCTCTCGGCCGACGACCGGTGCACTTTGTGACACTCCTGACCTGAATGCATTGCGCTACTGTACATACAATGCAGTGCAGCCCCACAACACGACGCCTGGTCACTAATCGCTCATCACCAAACACTTTACCTAGTCACTACCTACGTTATACTTTAAAAATGTATAACGTAGGTAGTTAAGTACACAATCGGTTTGTGTCTCCCAATAGTAAGAGAGTGAGAATCATGAAACTTTAATTGTTTGATTGTTGCATTGTCCGCGGACGCGGTTTATTAGATAATTGCTAAAAGTAAATAATTGAACGAATATCGAAGTCGAGCGCACGTGTTGATGTCTCCAAAAGAGGCAATGTCGTTTACTTGTCTGCAGCTTTTTCGCGCTGTTTTAAAATAACTCTTATTTTTATAAACATGTAGTTTTTGATGAATAACATTTTGTTTATGCCGTCTTTTTGGTGAGATTTTTGTGCTTTGTAGTTCGCATTTGAATATGACTTTGAACATATGTATTTGATATTGTATTTTGTATCATTGTATATTGACGAGGATTTTAGTATTGCGCGTCAACCTTTATTCTGTTGTCATCAGAGCAGCAAAAACAAATTACGATGATACTATTAAAGTACTCATGCCCTTAATATATGTTATAATGTTAAAAATAAATCTAAACATCTATACATCTTAATAAAATTGGAGTATCTGTGAGTAATATCGAAATAAAATCATATTTCGTACCTACATGTGATGGATTTGCATAGCTTATAACGAAAAACAGGTTTTAATTTTTTTTCTCTGTATATAAACTCCGGAACGGTTAAATCGATTTTCGCGGGATTTTGACGGGAAGTTAACTAACAAACTTTTTGAGAAACTCAGAAACTGTAACAAAAATATTCAATAAAAGCTCGCCGGACGAAAGTTGCAACTTTGTAGCGCCAAAGCCATGCGCTTTTTGTTTATCTGTCGGTTGTCACTGTCATCTGTCGTTTTGGAAAATACAAATGTCAATTTGGTTATATGTTATTTATGATTTCATTGAAGACCTAGGTTTTTGTTAATATCATTTCTTATCTACGTTTTTGATAAGTAATTGTATTGTGTTCATGTTTAAGTGTATAGTGTATGTGTCAATTTATGTTATTTAATCTATTTCAATTAAAGTTATCATCAAAGAGACCGTTATCGCTACGAATGTCTAACATTCGCACTCACATTCGGGAATAGTCGTCGTGTCAAGATGCTGTCGCGATGCGTTGTGTCTCAGGTCAAACACAACTCGTACTTCCTGGTGGGGCTGGCGCTGGGGCTGTGGCTGGCTCTGGCCACGGTCCCGCTGGAGGATGATGTGACTCCGGTGGCGTGCAACGCAGCAGTACCGCCGCCTGTTGTGGATGAGTGGGAGCCGGTGCGTGAGCAGCGAGAAATGGGCGCGGCAGGCGCTGCTGGGCGCAGCGTGCAGCGGCCGCGCTATTACAGCACGGAGCTAGGCATGCGTGCGGGCTTGCTGGCAGGAGCGCTCAGCTCGGAGGCGGCACTGGCGGGCAGAGCGGCGGCGCTTAACCGTACGGCGGCGCGCCTGCTGCCTGCGCTGCGGTTCTTTATCACGGCCAGTGCGCTGCGCTCCGCGCCCGCCGGCGCCAATGTGGTCGGCTTCACCGACACCAGAGAAATGCTCAAGCCCTTCCATGCACTGAAGTATCTCGCTGACAACTATCTGGAGGAATACGACTTCTTCTTCCTGGTGACAGACGCAACTTATGTGAATGCCCAAAGGCTGACTGAGCTAGTCTCCAAGCTAAGTGTCAGCCAGGATGTGTACATGGGAACAGTAGCCGATGATGACACACAATACTGCACATTAGGTATAACTGTCAATTTTTATATTGAATTTTTTATTAGTTAAGATTCTAGAAGGAAAGTAAATTAATTTATGGATTATTTGTATCTTTTGTGTGATTCAACACGCCTTATGATTTAAAAAAAAAATTAACTCTGCGAGAGGTTTTTATGTGTGACATGACATGAAAGCCATTAGCTCATTGAATATTACTATTCAATACTTGCTCAGATAAGAGAAAACTTCCCCATGTTGAGAAAAGCAAATTAATTACTTGTAACAGTAGTTTAATAAATTTAGACATTTTTGACAGTTGTCATGTTGTCAATGGGTATTTTATAAGTATTATAGCCTGCCGTGCCTGTTTACACTTATGCAGAATTATATTTAATTTGAGTGTAAATTTTAGATACATGTAAGTTGTACATAATCTAAAATTTAAATGATTTACTCTAATAACAAATGTTAGGAAAGGATCTATGAATGTTAGCTTCGCCATGGCCACAAGTTTGCCAACAGACCTTCTGCGGAAGCAGCACACTTGCAACACACATGACACAGCTAACACAGGCTTAGGCAATGCACCAGCAAACATAAAGCAATATCTAAACTTTTCTTATTTGAACAAACTTCTTTTCTCAACACAAAACTTGTTTATAAATGAATTGATTACATTCAAATATTTCTAAAATATACTCGGTAGTACCCCACCACTTTTTTATTCTTACTAGCTGTCGCCTTATACTATATTTTTACAAAATTGGTAAGATTTTAAATATTTTCCAGTTTACCCTGGCTATGTAATAATTAACAGTAGAAGATTAAATAAGTTGGAACAAAATTATTGAAAATTGTTTTTTAAACATCTTTACTCACACTCTCAAAACACACTCAGGAACACTCGGGACATGGGTAAGAGTGGGTGACTGCCTAGGGCGCTGGACAGAATGCCACAGGTCAGGGCGTCGGAAAAATTTGTGCGTGTTGCAGAGAGCGGCATCCTGCTGTCGAACTCTGTGCTGCGCGCGGTGCACGGCGCGCTGGACTGGTGCGTGCGCAACTCCTACTCCCCGCACCACCACGAGAACATCGGCCGCTGCGTGCTGCACGCCGCGCACACCACCTGCACCTCCTCGCTGCAGGTCTCCTCCCGCTTCACTCTCACTGCTCTCTCGACACCGGGCTATTGCACAGCACGAGTGATACTACAAGACATTGTTGTGCGTGTGCAGGGCGAGAGCTACGTGTCGTGGCGCGTCGGTGGTGCGGTCCCGTCGGCCGAGCTCGAGCCCGCGCTGGCCGACGCGGTGACGGCGCACCCGGTGCACGACCCCCACCACATGTACCAGCTGCACGCCTACGTCTCCAGGGCGAGTACAAGCCTTCTCTGATAGCTACGAAAACTGAACGCGCAACGTACAAATGCAGCAATGCGATTTGAAAAAAGAGATAGCGCCGCGCTCCTTACATAGATTATAAACGTGACCTGTGCGCGGGCGCCTGTATGTGTGCAGGTGCTGCTGCAGCGCGCGCAGGCGGAGGTGGCGCGGCTGCGCGTGCAGGCGGCCGCCAGCGCGCGCCGGCACCCGCGCGGCTTCCGCAACGCCACCTGGCCGCCCGGCCTGCGCAACTCGCCCGGCCTCGCGCCCCCGCCCCCCAACAACAGGTACTGCGCCCCCGGCCCCACGCCCCCGACCTCCTCCACGCCCCCGCACACTCTGACGGCGGCGCGTGTTGCAGGTTCGACCACCTGCGCTGGACCACGTTCAACGCCACGCACGCGCTCATGCCGGACGACCACCGCACCGCCGCGCCGCTCGCCGCCGCCACCAAGCAAGCCATACAAGTCAGTCGACACTTTACATCATCAACTGGATTAGCCGAAATAGCGAAACGACTGCTGCTCACAAACATCCCATCCTTTCCTTGTAAGGAAAGATGAGAAGGAGAAGAGCATTAAAATTAGGCCTGCGATACGACATTCAGAGAACAGACATAAAAGTATATAACGTTGAATGTGCGAAGTATGAAGTAGTGGAGACGAGTGTGTGTGTGTATGTGTGAGCAGTTGGCGCTGGCGGAAGCGGGCGCGTGGGCGCGCAGGCGCTGGGCGGCGGGCGGCGTGCGCCTGCTGGAGGGCGCCTGGTGCTGGGAGCCGCCGCACGCGCTGCGCTACCGCCTGCTGCTGGCGCTGCGCCCCGACCCGCCGCAGGTACACCGCGCGCCTCCCACCTCCTACCTCCCACCTCCTCCCTCTCACCGTGCCTCACCGAGGTGACATGTTCCGCTTGCAGGAGGCGGGCGGCGAAGTGGTGCGCCAGGTGGAGGTGGCTCGCCCGTTGGGCGCGGCGCGACTCGTGCCCGCGCGCTACGTCACCGAGAGCGCACGCGTGCTGCTGCTGGTCGCGCTGGCGGCGCCTCACGCGCCCCTCGCGCTCGACCTGCTGGCGCGCTACGACACCGTCTGTCTGCAGCGTGACAGGAACACCGCGCTCATGCTGGTGCGTACTCGCCCCGCCCCGCTCCGCCCCCATCCCCGCGACCTAACGCAGCGCGTGCGCAGGTGCTGGCCACGCGGAACGACAGCGCGGCGTTCGAGCCGGTGCGCGCGGCCGTGGAGGCGCTGGCGGGCGCGCACCGCGGCGCTCAGCTGGACGTGCTGGAGGCGCCGCTGGCCGCGCCCGCCGACGCCGCCGACGCCTCCGAGGACCCGCACGAGCTGCTGGCGCGCGCGCAACTTGCGGCGCTGCGCGAGGCGCTGCCCCGCCTGCCGCTCGACACGCTGGTGCTGCTCGGCGTGCCCCACATGGAGTTCAACGAGGAGTTCCTCAACAGGGTATGCAGGAGTGTGGGCGGAGGGGTGTCTCGGCGGGCGTGGTGTACCAGCGGCTCCGTGTTTGGCAGGTGCGCATGAACACGATAGCGGGCGAGCAGTGGTTCCTGCCGGTGGCGTTCGCGCGCTACGCGCAGTTCGCGCACCCGCGCTTCGTGGACGCGGCCGGCGCGCGCCCGCAGCAGAACACGGGCCGCTTCAACGCGCGCCACCGACACGTGCTGGCTTTCTACAAGGCGGACTACGACGCAGGTAACCTCCCGCAACCCCCACACCCACCCCGCCCCACCCCGCCCCTCTCCACGCTCACACGCGCACGCGCACGCTTGTCGCTCAGCACTGGAGCAGTGGCAGCGCACGCGCAGCTCGGAGGCGCGCGGCGCGGCGGAGGTGCTCGCGCACGGGCCGCTGCTGACGCTGAGCGCGCCCGAGCCGGCGCTGCTGCTGACGCCGCAGCCGCCGCCGTGCGCCGCGCTGGTGCAGGAGGAGGGGCAGGAGCGGCTGGCGTGCCTGCAGCGCTCGCGTGAGGGCGGGTTCGCGGAGCTGGACCTGGGCGCGCGTCACGCCCTCGCCAAGCTGCTGCTGGAGACGCAGGCGGAGCTCGAGTGACGTCACACGCGACTCATTCGAGGAGTACAAAATACAAGTACAATATGTTTGTTCCGTTCCTCAGTACAATCTCTCAAATTATACATATTCTTACAACTTTGCTACAATTAAATATTTTCTATAATATTTGTTTTTTATTATGTTACTGTGCACATTATTTGTTTTCATAATAACAGCATTACACGTAGACGTACTATCTGTAGGTAGTAGGTAGCAGCCATAGAACGGCACACACGCCGACAGCCGCCGCAAACTGACCAAACGTTTTGGCTCTCGTAGACGTTTTCTTCGGATATTTTTATTGTGTTTTTATGTATTAAACAGTGTAAGAGCCCGCTTTAACATCTTCGCACGAATTGTCCCGGCTCGCCCGGTGAAATACCACGACCACACAGAAGACACGCCTCAAGTGGAAGCAATTCCAAGTACAGTCTGATGAGTGTGCGTCCCAGAGGCCTAATTTAGTTCACTTTCCCCTCCCACCCTTTTTCTCATAAGGAAAGGATGGATAGTGAAAGTGGACTTTCCGGATGAGAGGATGCATGGGAAGTGAAAATATTTTCTCTCTGTGCATCCTCTTCTCCGTCGATTAAAGGTAGGTAACGCATATGCAATTGCGTATGTCTATGAGCAACGGTCACTTCACTATTTCAGCGATTTCAGGTGACCGCTCGCTCGTTTGCCACCTTATGATATAAAAAAAATGTTTATCTAAATATATAAATTTCCGGATGTCTCAGTCGCCGACGAGTGAAAAATATGTCTTTTTTTGAAGTTTGAACCGTTATATCTCAGAAACGGTGGAACTTGTAAAAAAGATATGCATGGGTTTGTAATAGGGAGTTTTTATCATCTACAATTTTGTCTCAGGTAACTATTTGACAAAACTCACCATTTTGCTGAACGTGGAACGTGAATAACTAATTTTCTTACCTTTAGCGTTTAAAAAACCTGAAAATCGCACCAGTGGTCGCGATATGCAGTATGCCAAAAATCCAAATACATCGTAGAGACATCATCTATGAGGAAATAAGGAGCAATTCTGCAATAGTTGAATTATCCACCATTTTAATGTAGTCTTTTAGGGAAATATTTGTAACAGCGCCGTGAGCATCTATATTCACTATATTTACCTTTATAAAACATATATTTATTCATACAAAGCAGATTCAAACACACAAAAAAAATCCGAGAAAATGCTTCGTGTGCGCCGCCCGCATTCTACACCTACTACTGTTGTGTAAAAATTGTAAAGGAATCGTATATAAAGAAAACAAAATGTACATGTGTTGCATCGGTTGCTATACTTTCATTGTTACATAAACGTAAAGTAGATGTCGGAGGTGCAGGTCACAGCTGTGCGCGCACCCAGCCCGCGTACGTCGTCACACGCGTGTAGCCCGCGGGCAGGCCGCGGTCGCACCCCGCCGCCGCCAGGAACGACGTCACGCCGATCTGACGAACACCAATTACGTCAACTACGCAAACTGTTGGATCTCGTCGTCGTCGAGGGCCTCGTCTTAGAGCATTCGTTCCCACAAGACAACACAAGACGCGCCGCACTCACCAGTATCCTGCGGCCGGCGTAGTGAAGCACCAGCGGGCCGCCGCCGTCGCCGCCGCACGGACCGCGCGCGCCCGCTCCGCTCGTGCACACCACGCCGCCGCCCGCCGCCCCCGCCCCGAACACCGCCTCGCACTCCGCGTTGCTGATCACCGTCACACCCGCGTCCCGCAGACCCGCGCTCGACGTGATCTCAGCCCCTGCAGGCCCGCCCACACATACACCATTACCGCCATTACCATCTCGCACGCCTCTAATGTATCGAATGTTCAGCCGGTTCCGGCGGTGCGTCGCGTGAGGCGTGCAAATGTGGTACTTACATTCGCTGGTCTTGCCGTACCCGATGGCGGTGGCGCGCAGGCCCGTGAATGTCGACCCCAGCTCGGAACCCTCCGGCAGCGCGATCGGCCTGATGTAGCCTGCGCACACCGAATACTTCGAATTATGTAAAGAAGTAGCGATTCGAATATGACATTTCATTACAAAATTACACTTCGACTTCGTTAAGTCGATGCAAACTTAGCGAATATTTTATAAAAGGCGAACGGAGCGGAGGTGTCCCCCGCTAAGCGACTCACTGGTGGTGGAGATGTAAGGAACGACGAGCACTGCGATGTCGTTGTGGAGCGTGGCGGGGTCGTAGCCGGCGTGCGCGATGACCGCGCTGGCGGAGACGCGCGTGCCGCCGGAAAAGAGCCGCACCGAGCCCAGCACGGCCAGCACGCTGTACGCCTGCGCGCGCCCGTCCCACCAGCACTGCGCCGCCGTCACCAGCCGGTAGCTGCTCACCAGCGCCGCGCCGCACACCGACGTGCGCCCCGTGTTCAGTGTGATCACCAGCCCCGCCTGTCGCGACACAGTAGGCACGGAGGACCGGTCGTCAATCAACTACCTAGCCGATCGTACATACTCAACCGATTACCGATTCCCTCCGACTTACAAAGAACGGATGCTCGCCGAGGTACGATGCCAGTCCGCCCGTGATACGGGAAGCCCTGCCGCCCGCCTCTCCTCCGGCCGCGGCTTCCGTGCGGCGCAGCGCCTCGGCCAGCGGCTCGCCCACGCGCTCGTGGTAGCGGGTCGGACCGCCGCTCTCGCCGGCCGTAGCCCGCGCGACCTCGCTCAGCGTGTCAGGTGGCGGCGCGCCCGAGTGCAGCTCGACACGCACCGCCTCTTGTCCCGTCGCCAGCGCCGCGCACGCCGCGCACGCCGCCCACACCGCCCACACCGCGCACAGTGTCGCCGCTCTCATGATGTACTGACGCAGTGATGCCACTCAGCCGCGAAGGGACCCTTTTATCATGTACGCTTGCGCAGGGACTTCCTCCGTCCGAGTGCCTCCTCGAGCTAATCTTTTCCACGTAAACACTTCACAAGGTGAAGCGTTTTGACCATACTTTGCGAGTTAGATACGAGCGCTGTCTCTGCTCTTTCGTTTATTCAGATGTGTTTTTGTTATCTATGTTTTTGCTCTGCCGGCAGTAGGGTAATCATTTTATGTATGATGTATGTGTACATACAGTATCCGTTTCATTGCAATATCTGTTGCTTAAACGGTTTGTACATTTTTCCCCGATGTTGTTTAATCTATATTATAAAATGTACAATTTTATTATATTGTTTTAATAAAATTTGGTTTTATTGGATTTATTTCCATAATTTCTACCGATTGTGCACAAACAAGATTATTTGACCAATAATTAAGTAATAATGTCCTTTTAAAAACGATATCAAGATGTAGTTTCACGGAACCTCTCGAACCGCCACTACAAAGATAAGATTACATATGTTATAAAGTCCTCTTCACCGACCTGCATCTTTAACACATACTTTTCTACCTATCTTACCTATGTACATATGTTTCATGTTACTAGTAATAAGTATTTTGTTCACTATCACCTCACTGCGGCGCTCGGAGTTATCTTAAGTTAGGGGTGACTAGGACATAGTTAACCGCGATGGCCCAACCTAAACCTAACCTGTGGCTTGGTTAACTTCACACTTATCTTTCTAAATTCTTCGCAAATATGTGCAGGTAGCGTCACGCTGATTCCTTCACCGTAAGAATGTCAAATAAATGTCCATATGTAAATCGAAATTCGAAAAACACGATGCTACATGGCAGGATTCAAACCTAAGATCAGCAGATTACAAGTCAAGTGCTTAACACCTGAGCCACCTACGCTCTTAAGTATTTTGTTATCATAAGGAAATTTTATGTAACAAAGCCTGGAAAAAACAATAGTTTTAACAGTGGTAGAGCCCGCTTTAACATCTTCGCACGAATTGGCCCGGCTCACCCAGTGAAATGCCACGACCACACAGAAAACAGGCGTGAAGTGGAAGCATTTCCGCGTTTCCTAATTATGATTATACCTCTTTCCCTTCCCACCCTTTTTCTTATAAGGAAAGGATGGATAGTGGAAGTGGACTATCCAGATAAGAGGACGTATGGAAAGGGAAAATATTTTCTTTCTGTGCATCCTTTCCTCCGTCGATCAAAGGTAGGCAACGCATATGCAGTTGCGTATGTCAACGGCAACAGTCACTTCGCTATTTCAGCGATTTCCGCTCGCTCGTTTGCCACCTTATGACATAAAAAAAGTAAAATGTGCAAATAAATAAATAGATATCTATATAAATTATAAAAAAAGGTTGCATTCTGCTTGATTTGGGTTAAATGACCACCGCTCATCTTCCCTATGCGTAAGCCAAAAGGCCTTGAAAAACAAAGTACTTCCCAAGAGTATGAATAAAATTGATAGATATTGAATATGCCCTATTAAAATTGCCCACCGAAGTATTATATGATCTCTGTTATAAATCTAAATTGTCAATCAATTCATTGCTAAGATATTGTGTGTGTGTGTGGTATCACTGTTAGAATTTTCTAAGTTATTTTATGTACTTATATTATTATTATGCAGCACCCTACGTGGTAAAAGAATTTGGTTGTTTTCTTTTTTAAATGCAACTACCGATCACTCTTTGCTACCAAAACTCCGTGGCAACCATTTTATATACTCTTTGATGGTAACCAAAGAGTAGAAGGTAAACAAAAAGGCAATTGGCAACACTATTACCAATCACGACAAAATGTCAACGTCAAATCAAGATCAAAACAAGGCGCGTGAGGCACGCGGGCAGTTGTTCTAGTGCTCTAACACGACGAATGCTCGTTGGCGGATGCAAAGCCTAAAAAATAGTCCTTTAGCAATACATCCGGTTTTTGACGACGTCGCGAGGCCGTTCGAGTACAAAGAGGCGGCGAGGCCGAGCGCCGTGGCCCCGCGCGCCGGTGTGATCCGGTTTGCGGCTGACGAACGCCCAGCGTCTGGACTGCACCACGCCGACATGAAGCCACACGACGACGGAATCAACGGCCACGGTGAGCTGACTTATCTTAACAAAAAAATATCGACTCGTACGTACAAAAACCAATAAGCAAACCATAAGTAATAAAATTAATTTACCACGACCGTCAGTTTAAAAGTTTAGTTCAATAATGATATTATTGATTACTCAAGGTTATCGAGTTACCGAACAAATTAACCACCTCTATGCACTCGATATTAGATCAGTATTGTCTAAGTTCAATTACAATCAGTTGTTTTAATACACGATATTGTTTACACTGCGCAACTTAACAGTATCTCGTCACTAAACATACTTCGGTGAACTCTTGGGCGGATTTAATAATTATTTTGATAGTTGAATACTGCTTAGTTAATGCAGAAGATGCTGGGGCTCTGATGTCGTGTTGTTGCGCGGTTCACGAACCTCTGAATAGACATTGTAGTTAATTAATTTGATTGATAAATTGGCTGTGATGACTGTGGCGGGAGTAGGCTGCTCCTGACACACACTATATTTGTTCAATTATCAAATGATTTTAGAGCATCAAGACATTGCCAAATGCCCCAATTATACATTAATTATGACTTTGTTGCTGCATTCAAAGTTTAGTATAAATATTTAAAACAATGATATTCTCATTATAAAGATGTTATTGTCTTGACAAAGTTATAATAAATTATAATCTGAATCTGATTTATTCTATTCCGCAGCTTAGCTCAGCTCTTCTGAAAGGTCCGTAGCTTCAAATAAGTTAAACATTAACACATTAAAGTTTTGAATTACACTTTATTACAGTATTAATGTTATAAATGCATAATTTTGTGTACTCTTGAATTCTTCAAAGCAATTCAAACAACATTTGTTTTGATAAACAAAAAGTGTGTTGATTTTCCACAGAAAACCTTTGTACAGCGCACCGGAGGGAGCATGTCTGTTTGTCTTTCAGAGAACTTGGTAAAGAGGTGGGGACAAAGTAATATGCATTGAGCTTGGAGTGATGATTGTCTAATTTCATGTCTTGAGCTGCATTAGAGATTACTTGTACATTGTGGCACATGGTGGCTCAGTCAGACTGTACTCAGTCACAAAATAACACTACTCTCAAACAATGCTCACAATCTTTCAAAAGTTTTCCATCGAGACAGATTCTTTCATTTTTTATTCTTATCTTAGTAATTGCTTCCCTATAAGGTGTTTCTTTAAGTGATATGGTTATTGTATTTTTCTAGTCTTATTTATTGCTGGCCGCCGTCGCGGCACCTTTATTGCCTTTGCCTGCAATATGCAGTAATTTATGTCTAAACATGATAAATATATATTTATACATAAATATATCTGTTCAGCCGATCAAATGCTAAGCGCCGCGCTGCGCCGGCGACGAAGGCCGCGGGCGGTTCAGTGTCTTATCGCGTCACATTGTATAGCATGACATATCTCGGAGGTATTACATTTTTGGTCTCGATATTTCTTTTTCCCTTTTAGTGACATGGTGTCATGGTGTCATGGTGAAGGTGCACAATGCCGTCACTAGACCGACACAAAAACATAAACAAACGTTCGGTAATGATAGATTATGTAATACAAAGGCCGCGTGACGCCGCGCCGGAGCTCGGGCTGAGCCTGCGTGAAGGCCGCCCCGCCGCCGCCGCACCGCCGCCGCCGCCGCTGTTTACGTGACGTTCGCGCAACCGGATTACATTATAAATAACGAATAAATAATGTTGTTTAACCATGTTATACATATTATACTGTCCGCGATACGTCGCAACATACTTATATATTTTCTAGATATCTGCTGAATTTTACCAGATGGTGTGAAGTAAGCTTTATCAGCCATAACACCTAGATTTGCATTTTAAATGAGTTGGTTCGCTTCAGACTGCTGTTGATGAAAGAGATATTGATATTGTATTTATAAACAGATGATAGGGTTACGTTGTGTTCAAAGAATTATTCCCATTATGGGAATATACGTATTGATTGGAAATTGTGGAAATTCCAGGGCGAATAAACTCTACAGTTGTTTCGGCTGCAGTAATTTTGCTAACTCGCCATCGAACAACAAAAAGCAAAAATGCTTTTTATTTTCTGCCACATTCAAAGGCGTATAAAATTAATAAAAATTGACGAATCGTAACCAAACTTTTTTTTCCAAATATGGCTTTAGAATATACATATATATGTTACATGCAGGAGGTGACACAGTATGGAAGTTTCACTTCCGAACTCTTTGATTTTGGAACTCAATTTGATCAATATATAAGCTTTTCCATGGTACTACACGGTAGATAGACATAGACATACACATAGTGGTGGTAATGTCGCGCTTCCACAGAGTCTGACAGCTGTATGAAAATGTAACATAATGCATGTCTCTGTGCGCTGCCAGCGATAGGCGACTACACTGCGTGTATGCAGTGTTTACAATAATTGTTATAATAATATATTCAGGTCACTTCTCTGCCACCTATCGAATTGGCTTTTTTTTTTCTGGATATTTTAGATAATTAAAATGTTCAATGTCATCGTCGCGATAGCTTATCGCGTCAATTTAGTTTGTTTTTACCGCGACTCGGTGCGGCCGCGGCAATCTTTAGATTAGGATTATCGAGGACGATACAGCGGCGGTCGGCCGCCAGCAGGGCGCCCCGAGCACTGACACCGGCAAAGGCACGGCACGCTAGCGCAGCATACGTACTGACAGCAACATATACACGAGATCGTGACTTCGGCCTGTGTGCGCAGAGAGCGGCGGCAGCGTGGCCAGCGGCGGCGCGCGCTCCGACGACAGCGAAGGCGAGGAGGCCGCGCTGGAGGAGGAGCTGTCGCTGGTAGACGAGGCGGCGCCGGCGCGCGTGCTGGCCGCGCTCAACGCGCTGCGCAAGGCGCGCCAGCACTACGACGTGCTGCTGGCGGCGGGCGCGGGCGGCGCGGGCGAAGAGGTGGCCGCGCACCGTGCCGTGCTGGCCGCCGTGTCGCCGCGCCTGCTCGCCGCCCTACCCGCCGCACCACCCGCCGCCCCGCCCGCCGCCGCCCCAGCCGCGCCCGCCCTGCGCCTGCCCGACGTCGACGCCGATGCTCTGCGCGAGTTGGTCGAGTACGCTTACACGGGACGGCTGCGAGTACGCGACGCGGCCGGAGCGCGACGGCTGTACCGTGCGGCGGCGCGTCTGCGCGTGGAGACTGCGCGCGCCCACCTCGCCGAGCGCCTGGTGCGCCGCCCCGCGCCGCATGACGCGCTGGCCGTGCGTGCGCTGCCCGACCTGCAGCGACACCACCGCGCCGCGCTCGACGCCTACATCGTAGAGCACGTGAGTACAGCGCCGCCCTCCCCACCCCATCCCCATCCCCCATCCCCGCCGCCCCGCCCGCGAAACGGCAGTGTTAAACGTTTACCCGTTTCTAGTTCGACGAGATATGCGCGTGCGGCGCACTGGCGGCTTTACCGCTCATCCACATCGAGATGCTGCGCGAGACGAGCGCGGAGCTCGGGCAGGAGGCGCCCGCGGCCGTCGCCGGCGCCGCGCTCACCTGGCTGCGGGACCAGCTCGCCGCCGGCACGCAAGTCCGTACACATCTACCATATCTATCTCTTGGCCGGCGACGAGGAAGATTTAAACGAAACGTTTCTTGGGAGTAATGGCGAATTTATATTCAATAGCTAGAAGATCTATGTTCGCGGCCGCATCTTCTGTTCGTGGACGCGGAGGGCGCGCTGCGGGATTGCGGCGAGCTGCCGGCCAGTCGCGGCGACGCGCCCGAGCTGCACGAGTACAGGCGCGAGGCGGCGGAGCGCGAGCGCGGCGTGCGGCGCCGGGCTGCCGAGCGTGACCGCGCCCCGCCCCCCGCGACCCCCGCACACGCCCCCCACACCGCCCACCTCGCGCACCACGCGCACTCGCCCGACGACCGCGCGGACGACGACACCGGCGTGCTGGCAGCGCGCGCCGCGCCCGGCGCCGGCGTCACGCGCGCCCTGCTCGCGCTCAAGGGCAAGCTGGCGGCGGCGCGCATCGCCTGGCGCACCGGCAGCGGCAGCTCGGCGCGCGGCGGCCGGCTGGGAGGCGCCGCGGAGCCCGGCGACGCGCCGCGGCTGGCACACATGTCGGTGCCGCGGTGCGCGCTGGGCGCGGCCGAGCTCGGCGGCCGGCTGCTGGTGTGCGGCGGGTACGACCGCGCGCGCGTGCTGCGATGCGCGGAGGCTTACGACCCCGACACCAACACGTGGGCGGCGCTGCCCGACATGCGCAGCGCGCGCGGCCGCTTCCCCGCCGCGGTGCTGGGCGGCGCGCTGTACGCGCTGGGCGGCAGCGACGGGCACGCGGAGCTGGACTCGGTGGACGCGTTCGCCGGCGGCGCGTGGGAGCGGCGAGCGCGGCTGCCGCTGGCGCGGTCGCACGCCGCCGCGGCCGCGGACGAGCGCGCCGGCGTGCTGTACGTGGCCGGGGGGTGGGCGGCGGGCCGCTGCCTGCGCCAGGTGCACCGCTACTCGCCCCTCGCCGACGCCTGGGACGAGGCGCCGCCGCTGACCACGGGTGAGTCGATCGCGTCGCCGTCTCGCGCCGGTCCCGAGCGCATCACGGTTGACCGTCGCCTCGTGTGTCGTCAGGCCGGTCGCAGTGCGCGGGCGTGGTGTGGCAGGGCGAGCTGTGGGTGCTGGGCGGGTGTGACGCGTGGCACTGCCTGGCCGGCACGGAGCGGCTGCGCGCGGGCGGCTGGGCGCCGGGCCCCGCGCTGCCCACTGCGCGCCGCTCGGTGGGCGGGGCGGTGTGGCGCGGCCGGCTGGTGGCGGCCGGGGGCTCCTCGGGCGGCGCCTCGCTGCGCACCACCGCCTGGCTCGCGGCCGACCTGGCCGGCTGGCGGGAGGTGGGTGGTCCGGCGGTGGGGGAGGGAGATGGTCGGTTCCCGGCGCGGGGCTAACGGTGTGTCGCCGGCAGGGCCCGCTGCTGCGCGAGGCGCGCGCGGCGCCGGCGCTGTGCGTGGTGCGCGACGTGCTGTACTGCGCGGGCGGCTTCAGCGGGCAGGAGTTCCTGGCCAGCGTGGAGTGCCTGCTGGAGCCCGACGGCTGCTGGACGGCGCTGTGGCTGCCGCGCTCCCCCGCCACTGTGAGCACCTCCTTGGCGATACTTTGCTTCGGCACGAGACCGTAGTAACGACATCGTGATGCACGGTTGTACGTTTTGAATTTCCAGCAAATCGCGGAGGAGCGAACCCATGAAAACCCCGAGCCGCTCGTGAACGGGATCCACGACGCCTTGTCCGAGCGAGAGGACGAGATGGGCGCACGAAGCGAGTGCGAGCGGGACGGCGCACCGGCGGAGAAGGGTGCGGGCGAGAGAGGCGGCGCGGTGGAGCGGGAGGGGGAGAGCGGCGCGGTGGGCGGGGCCTGAGCGCACCTCGCTTTTAGATACAATTAAAGTTTATGACGAAATGCGCGCCCTCAGCTCAGCTCAGTTCAGTTCAGCTCAGCTCAGCTCAGACCGCGACTTCCTACTTCACATTAACACCGACAACCGCCAGCTATTCTTTCGATGGTTTGGTTTGATGTTTCCTTTGGTGCGATTGCGCCGAGATATAATATAGAAATATTGTAAAAAGGCTACTTTATCATTCTGTAGTTTTTGTTACATTCTCATGACGTGAACAACTCGGCCGCGTGTCGCGTGTCGCGTGTCGCGCACATACATTCCTGTTCGATCGGAAAATTCCATTATCTTATAATGACATTGCAGCCCAATAAAAGAAATGAGAGAAAACATTTCTCGTGTTATCAGCATGTCTATCCGTCCTTCAACATTGGGCTGAACACTTTCTCCGAGTCCCTGAGCTCCCCTCCCCCCCACACACACACACACACATTCCTGGGAACATAATCATTTTATATTGTTCATATAGACTCTGCAACTGTATCTATAACTCCATGTGAACGTATATAATTTATGTGTTATCGCAATGCCACTTATAAAAAAAAAAACATTAGATAATTTTTTTTTTAATCAATTAAATAAACATTGTTATGTTGTAATTGAGACAGAGTTAGTTAGGTTGAAACAATCAGTATTCCGGAAAACAATAGTACCATCGATTCATTTAATGTAAGGCGACGAGTGTCACTCGTGTGGTTCCTCACTGTGCAGTGCGTGGCATTAGCGCGGCGACTACGCGGTGTCTACGCGGCGTCTGCGCGGCCGTGTGCCGGTCTCGCTCTGATGCATGTGTAACTATAGCAATCGCCACCTTACATGTGTCTCTCCTACATGGGCTAGAAATGTTTGTTATTTTAATTGAATAAACAAAGCATTAAAACTACGAAGGTGTTTTATTTCTCTGATGTTATCCCAAACGCTTCCAGACAGCCGTCTTCCTAAGCGATTTGATACTATTATTTGACTGCTGCCTGAGTACAGTACTCCTACTAATTCCCTTAACACTATACCTAGTTCTATGCATACATATATCCTATACTGATTCTATACTAAATACTATACTATAATCTCTATGACTTAAGTTAAATGAATTGAGACATTGTATTGAATTCATTTAATTGAATTAAATAACACAGGTCCATATAAATAATAACTTACAACGCCATCTGTCTTCTGAATTGCAGAACATTCGCGCGAACTAACTTTAACTTTACTAAATGAGATGAGATGATATTAAATGTTGTTGAACTAGTTTATTGTCTATATGGATGAATGGAATATATAATATAAAACAATCGTAGCAAGTTTAAACAAAATTGCAAGAGAATATTCGTTATGACATGTTGAACCAGCGTGGCCCCTCACAGAACCATGTGTAGGAGAGTAGCGTCAGGGGCGACATTTGAATTCCGTCGCTACGATGCATTGTTGTTTTAGGGCGTTCCCTGCGAGCAATATTATAGACTACTTTAGGTAATGGAGGCTTTAAGGTGGGTTAAGAGAGTAAATAATTAGTGGAAAAGGTGAAATTAAAATGGTTATTACATTTAAAGGTCGTGTTGGAGTATAATTGAGTTTAGTTGGTGAATTGTAAGTTTTTTTTTTTTTTTTTTTT